CGCGCGCGCGGCGCTGCCCCCCAGCGGCGGGGCGCGGCATGGCGGGCGAGGACGCGGCCGGGCCCGAGCCGGGTCCCGCGGGGGGCGCGGCCCCCGCCCCGTCCCCGCCGGGCGAGGACGGCGACACCCGACAGCGCTACGAGGAGCTCTGCAGGAGCCTCAACATGGACGAGCGCGCCCGCGCAGAGGCCTGGCTCAGCTACCAGAGCATGAGGCGCAACTACACCCTCGAGGTGCCGGAGGGGCGGCGGGCGGGGGTCGTGGCCGGCCCGGCGGGGTCCCGGCGGGAGGTTGAGGCGGGAGGGAAGGGGCGGCCCCGAGGGCGCGGCGGCCTCTCCTTTGCATCGCCCGGGAAAAAACATCGCAGTTCCGAGCCATAGCGGGGGAAAGGTGTTAAAAATAGACGTGCTCCCGTCGCTGCGGCCCTTCTGCCGCCGGCACGGCGGCCTCGGCAGCGCGGGGCCCGCGGAGGTGCCCAGCGCAGGTGCGATAACATTTATTAGTTATTTATTAGGGGCCGGCTTGGCCGCGGCGCAGCCCGGGCCGGGGGCCAAAGGGTGAAGGGTTGTGTCACGTCGCTCTCGCAAACAGGAACACGCGGGGACGCGCCCGGAGCTCGGGAGGCGCCTTTATCGGGGGCGTTGAGCAGCGGAGGTGGCGCTGGTGATAAACCGCGTCTGTCCGAGCTCCCTGCGCTGCCCTGCCGGGACCAGGAGCGCTCACAGGGCGGCCCCGAACCCGGGCAGGTGCTCGGCCCTGCGGAGGGGGGAGGATCCTGCTCTGCCCTGGCTGCGCCTCTGTCACACACACGCTGCTCGTGGCCGTCGCTGCCGGGCCGGGATGCTCGGAGGGGATACTGATGCTGCCCCTTCCCCCGGAGGTGTGCGCTCACCCGGCCCCGCGATACCACATAGCCCAAAAACCACAGCATCGAACTGAACTTTGGTTTTACCCATCCTTTTCCCATTGAAATGTTTTTACTTGATCGCAGAGGGGGGATAAAATTTCAGGTGTTCGTTAGAATTCATTTCTGTCTTTAGGTACCAGACTGAATAATTGTTCTGCTGTGCAGTACAGAGCAAAATGGAAACTTATGTTTTTCTTTTCCCGCTGTGTGTTCAGGGCAGAGGAATGTTCTGGCAGCAAGAAAATATAGCTGGGGGTTTTTTTACATTAAAAATTAGGGAAGTATAAAATGCTACAGGAGAAGAACAACACTAAAAATACATTGCTATGCTTTGGGTCAAGGGTGAAATTTATGATGGTAACTAGTAATTTTAGTTTGGATGCAGTTTGGTGTTAAGTATCTGTTTAGCACCTGTTTTCTTGTAGTTAGAAACACAAAGCACAACAGAACTTTGAAACAGCAAATCAACTTTGTCACTGGTCGAACTTCATCCGTTTAGGACACGGTTCTTTCCCCTGGAGTTGGGTTGGCTGAAAAGTATGTTTTCCTTTTCACTGAAGTCTTTTAAATGCCTGATGGTTTGATTCACAGGGAAATGACCTGCACTGGCTGGCCTGTGCCTTGTATGTGGCTTGCAGGAAAGCAATTCCAACTGTGAGCAGAGGGACAGCTGAGGGAAATTATGTGTCTTTAACCAGAATCCTGCGCTGTTCAGAGCAAAGGTAACTTTTCTTTTTGGTGATTTTTAGACACTTACAAAATCTCAAAGACTGCTTATCAGCTTGTGAAATTTAGAACTAGGGAGCAAAAGCTAAATGTATTTCTTATTCCCTGCTTTTAAAGATAGAATTTATGTCTCTAGCATGTTTGTATCATAGCTCATTGCCACAGGGTTAGGGCAGTTCCATTTGCTTAGTACTATGCTCTAAAAACACTGATTTTCAAAATAATACATTGACTTCCTTCTCTCAAAGGAGAAAGGAGCCAGGCACTGAAGAACAGTCAATTTTTGGAGTGTGCTAAGTGTGAACTTCTCACATCAGAAACCATTTTTAATTGGCTGTGAAAATATTCACACAATCTATCTAATTTTTTTGTGTAAGAAAACTTCATTTTTCACGTGTTCTTGCTTTATGAAACTAAAGTGATGTCAGAATCTGATAAACAAATCTGTGTCAAATGTGTATGTCCACAAAGCAATGAAGAGAAGCTTCCTGAAACAATTGACTTTATTTATTAGCAATCTATTTTCTAAAAATTCAGTAGATAAGCCCAAAAAGAAAAAAAGAAAGGTAATGTTCTTATGCACTTTTTCTCCCATTTCCTCTACTGTTGGAGCATTGCTGTTGGATCAAACACTGCAAAAGTGTTCCTCTATAAATTTTTGTTTTCCAAATCAGAAATTCAGGGAATTGAAAGTGGGTAAATTTGTTCTGTGATCTGGGCTATCAAATACTAGTAAAGCTGAAAGTGTAGATAAAGAAGCCAAAAATGAATGAAAGTCAAATTTACCAAGTGTAATTTGCTAAAACTTAGGGGGTTTTCATACTTTGTAGAATATTTTTAGCATCGTAGGACTCAGCGTTTGTTTTATTTAAGTTAATAAATAATTCAGAAAAATGAGGGAGATCTGATTTTAGCTTAATCTGACTGTTGGAGCTGATCTTGTCTTTATGAGGAACCACCAGAGCTGCTGAGAGTACCCTGTTAACACGGTTGTCAACCGAGGATCTAAAAGTATTTTATGAGCTGTCTGAGCTCATCCATGTTCATGGGTGAAGGACTGGCTCTGAGCTGCTTGTGTTTGCAGTACCATCATTTTATCAGTAGTTTGGGAAGTAAAAATTGCACTTTTGCTGAAAATGTGTAGTTTATTTCTGCAAGAAAAACAGCTTTTCACATCTAACCCATTGGGTATTTCCAGCTTGATCGAGTTTTTTAACAAGATGAAGAAGTGGGAAGACATGGCAAATCTACCGTCCCAGTTCAGAGAACGAACTGAGAGATTAGAGAGGAACTTTACAGTTTCTGCAGTCATTTTTAAGAAGTATGAGCCCATTTTTCAGGATATTTTCAGGTATCCTCAAGAAGATCAACCTCGCCAACAGAGAGGAAGGAAGCAGAGGTACATTTCTGTTATTCCCAACCTGATTTTAGAGCATTACTATAGGGAAAATATAATGAAGTTACTTGGTTGTTTTAGTTGTATTTTGGCTGTATTTTCACAGGAGTTGTTTATACTATTAGAGTTGGTCTGTCTGTCCTTGCTTGCAGTAATTTTTTAATCTCTTTTTCAGTTTCAGATCTGACAGGGTGAAGGAAATCCCAAAGCTGCCAAGTTTTTATGATTTGGGGAGTGGAGGAAAGGGGAGACAATCAAATCAGCGTGTAGTCAAGGGAAATGCTAATATTTCTAAGATGGGAAAGGCTGGAAAAATATGATCCTTGTATGATCTGCAAAGCTTTAATAGCTCATAGCACAACTCAGCCTGTTTCACTGTCCAGTTACTCCCGTGGTTTTCTTCATAGGTACAAATCTGGTGGATATTTTATTTTATAGTGGAAGCTTTGTTTCTTTGTTACTGTTCATAGTAAGAATGCTGTGAAAATGAACCATTACATGCAGGGTTCCACTTGTGTCTGCACTAAACCACTGTGCAGCTTTCATTATTACTTCAGTCAGAGTTTTGTGGGAGGGTATAAGGTTTTGGCCACGCTGTAGTAAAGCTTAATTTTCCTTTGGAATTATTGACTGGTTTATGATATTTTATCAGTTTTGATTCATTGAACTTATTGGGTATCTTTCCTGTGTTTTCCTCCCAAAGACGCCAACCGTGTACTGTGACTGAAGTTTTCCAGTTTTGTTGGGTGCTGTTTGTTCATGCAAAAGGTAAGAGATCTGAAAGGGATTAAATACAGCAAACATCATGTTGTTAGTCCTTACTTTGTATCAGTCCTTAAAACACCGAAAAGGTGGAGGCATTTCTGAATTCAGAGAGAATTTTGGAGAAGGGGCCTTCTCACAACAGCCTAAAGGAATGTATTCTGTCCCAAGTTCCCCAGCTACATGTTTTACCACACTTCCAAGGTGAGAGTTTGTACTGTACTTTATTTCCAGTCAGCTGGGACTTCACTTCTTTAGCACAGTTAGGCAGCTGAGTAAGTAGGTCAGTCTGAAAAGTCACAGGTTTTTCTTTTCCCTTCTTCTGCATGAAGATTGGACAGTTGACAAGGTGCAAAGGGACTTTATGGGTCTTGCTATTGCTAAATTGTTGGTTAATATGTTTGATTAACTATGTCATTGATTGACTACATCTTAATTAGAGACCAGTTTCAGACATGCTAATGAACTTTGTGGAGAATACCACGCTGGTAACCCATCCAATTCAATTTCATGAAAAAAAGAAAAAATTACAGTAAATGTGAACTGTAAAATTAGTTAATGATTATTAAAGTGTGGCAGCACAAAAATGGAAACTAGATGTTGACCATTTAAGGCATTAAGTATTCAGGGTTTTGTCCTCTGTGTTTTGAGGGGTGGCAGTAAATCCCTATCACAGCAACCAGACATCAGTGGCAGGTTCAGGCTTGTCCAATCCTGCAGACCATTGGGTTCAGCTTCACAAATGCAGAAAGTACAGGTTTGTCTGCACCTGCAGCACACACTGCACAGTAGAGGAGCCACTTGGTTTAGTGGCACTGCAGTTCTTGCCTACTATTTGTAAGAATTTTTATTTCTTTCTTTAAAATCGATGAGAAAAAAAATCTCTGCTGCACCGAGGTAACTGTTTATTATTATTATTTGGTACAAGGTTGTGAAAGGGAGCAGTGAGCCATTGTTTGAAGTGTCATTGGCAAATCATCTCTATGGAACTGCTGGTCCAGTGAAATTAGATTTATTTTTGACTGTGCTGACAGGAACGATTGCCATGGTTGTGAAACTGAGCCTATGTTATGAGAGTAACTTTGAGAATTTTACTGATTTAAAGTTTGCTAGTAGTATTTAGAATTTTCATTGCTTTGTTGTGAACCATTTAATGATTTGGAAATAACTGATAAATGAATACAGTTAATTAGTATTTTATGTAGGGTTCATTATTTTAAATAGTTTAAATATAGTTTAAAAAGTAGTTTAAATCTGCATTGAAATTATTTTCCTTCTGACAAACGTGGAATCAGAAAATCTAATACAAATTTGAACAAACTGGTATTTTACTGGTAGAAAAATAACAGCAGAGTTTAGAAAAATTTTCTAATTATATATCCATTTTGATGCATTCTAAGTGAGTTTATTACTATATGATAAGTATTTTTCAAGCATCTAAACCTGTGCTTCAGAGTGGGCTCAGTTAACTGGTTTGGTGTTTACCTGAGAAAAAAGAGGGGAAAAGGAGTGGAAGAGTTATTAGTATTAAAAGAGTAATAGAAACTTGCTGTGCATGCAGATTAATGCTGTGCATACAGATTAATGAAATTTTGATTTTTGGTATTAATTTACAATATAGTTTATTTTACAGAACTATTTTTAGCAATGGCCGCTCCTCTAAAGCAATATCATAAACATAAATGAGTTCAGTAAAGAGTTATAAATCTGAATGTAATCTTGAGAAAGGTGATAAAAGAGCAGAGAGGTTTTAAGGACTCTTTTCGACAGGAAGGTGATAAATAGAAAATATTTTTTAAATTAGAGATAGCACGTTTTAACTCTTCTCTAAAGCACAAGAGAAATAGTTACATTTATTACTGTTTATAATGAGCATGTACCCAGCAAAACTTTTGTAAGAAAAGAGGTTATTAAAAAAAGTTATCTGACTTTGAGTTAAAATTCTGGAGAGTTGGGGGTGGTAATGGGAGGTGTTTGCTGTTTCCAGGGCATCTGAAAACCTTGCAAAAGTTAAAAGCTCCTTGCGAGTCTTTACAGCAATGCAAAACTGGGGAAAAGGAGAGTCTCAGTCAGAACCTGTTCTTCCCCCTTACTGGCCTTTAGAGCAAGATTTGCTTCAGGCAGGTGCAGCAGGAATCTGTTGAAGGATGTGACACCACCAGGCAGAGAAGCTGCTGCTGCCAGAGTTATGGAAACACATTTTTCTTCCTTGTAGCAGTTTGCATTCTGCAGTTTGTGCTACTTTAAGTTATTTATGCTCTGGTTAATGAGATTACTGTGAATGAGGGAGCCTGCAGTAGCATGTTTATCAACATTTTGGTAAGGTTTGATTTCGAAACAGAACAGTGTATTTGAGTTCCTTCACAATCACTGTATTTTATTAAGTGTGAGTCTGTTTTACTGCCTGTGTTGCTATGCAGATATTTGTAGTCATCAGATCTGTTCCCAAGCCTGCATTATTGATTGTAATACACATACCAGCAGTTTCTTTGTTAAAAATATTTAAATCCATGCTAATTTTATGTCTTTTGTCTTTCTAATTTTGAAGGAAATTTTCCTATGATCAGTGATGACTTGGTCAATTCCTACCATCTCCTGTTATGTGCTTTGGATCTCGTGTATGGAAATGCTCTCCAGTGTCCTAACCGTAAAGAACTTCTGAATCCTAATTTTAAGGGTATGTTGGAAAAAACTTAATCTGTCTGAAGCCTGCAAGAACTTCTAAGGCTACTGAAATGAGTATGAATCTGTGTGGCAGAGAATAAATTGAACTGTGTTGATTTGAAGCACATGGGAATTAATATTTTCTTTATCTGGCTACACAGTTCCATTTCTGTTAATGCAGTAGGTAATAACAGACCAGTGGATTTTGTCAATAATGCAGTAAGTCAAGGATTTGATTTACTATAGAAATACCATTGAAGGAAGTTCCAGAGTAAAAATTCAAGTCAGTGAGGGTTTAATGTCAGTGAAAGAGTGCATAATGACACAGCCATCACTGGACATGGTCAGACTGTCACAGCAGTTGGGAAAGATCCAGTGCTCAAGTGTTAGATTTGCTTCTCTCTCATTTTTGGATTGCTGCTGTTCTCTTTCTGAAGAGAATGGAAATATAGGTTGACTTGATAACCACAAATGCAAATAAATGGTGAAAAGTTTCCATTGAATTTCTGATGTAATTCCTTCCAGACTTGCACTTCATTTGCAGTTCTGTACAGTGTTGGCCTTTACTTTGCAGTGCTTTGGATGTGAACTGGGACCATTATCTCAGATATTATAGTTCACAAGTGTTTGATTGTTTTTCTGTTAGAATTGATATATTTAATTTTTGTCACTCAGTCACTGATTTTTTAAAATCTCTGACTCAAAATTTGCTTTTGATAACATTATCCAGTTGAGTGGGTGTTACATAACTAATAATTCTTTGAAGGGAACTGAGTAGTTTACTGTTTTAATATCACACGACCTAGACTTCACAGCATAGAATTTAATAAGAAAACAGGATATGGATTTGCAAAATCAAATAATACAGAATTCTTAATTGTAGGCCTGCCTGAAGACTTTCATAGTAAGGATTATAAAGTATCATCTGACCCTCCCTGCATCATTGAAAAACTGTGTTCATTACATTATGGATTAGTTTTAGAAGCAAAAGGTATCAAGGAACATTTTTGGAAGCCATATATTCGGAAACTTTTTGACAAAAAGGTAGGTCAATAAATTTGTAATGTAGAAAAATGTCTCCTTACTCATTATTTTTTTTCAACCTTTTCAAAAAATGAAATGCCCATCCTTTGTTCTTAACTGTCTTACAGCTTTTGAAAGGAAAAGATGAAAATCTGACTGGATTTCTAGATCCTGGAAACTTTGGAGATAGTGTGTAAGTCACTGTATTTGTGGTTTGCTTTGCATTAGTATCTCTCTGTGATACAATTGCAGTTGTTATCTGTCTTAGCACTGATCCCAGCCAGTTGCCTTGTGCTTATTGATGATCCTGTACTGCACTGCCTTTCATTCCCTTTGAGGTGCTGTGGTCTGAGGCCTGTTTGAAAGAGTAACGATGCTTCAGGATGGTGTTACTTGATGTCTGCTTTGATTCTTATGTTTCTATGTTTCCTTGTTTGTTTGGTTTTTTCATGTCTAACTCAAAGAATTATTATGAAAAAGGTGTGGGAGCACATGGGATGAGTGGGAAGTATGAGGGGAAAAAATTGGGTTTGGTGGTGGTTTTTTTCTTTATAAACCTAGAGATGCTTATGGGTAGGACTTACTTTTCTTTAAATTGTATAAAAATGGTATAGTGTAGTTTATGATGTGATTCTCTGTAAATTTTGAGGAGTTTCCAGCCAAATATGAGTTCTCAGTATTTTATTATGTTCTTCCTGCAGTTATATAAATGGAAAGGCATCAGATATGGAGGGAAAATAATGTCCTTGCCATGGTCATGCCTAAGATACTGTAGATTTTAAATGTGCTCCAATGCCTAAGTCAGGCTCAGAAGAAGTTTGAAGTAGACTGCCCACAGGCCAGAACTGTGTTCATTCTGTGAGCAGCTGAAGAAAATAGACTAAATAAAGGGGGTTTTGCCTCCATCTTTCCCTTTGTGCTGCAGCAAAGCCATCAACAAGGCCTACGAGGAGTATGTGCTGTCAGTGGGAAACCTTGACGAGCGAATATTTCTTGGTGAGGATGCAGATGAAGAAATTGGAACCCTCACAAGGTGCTTAAACACAACTTCAGGAATGGAAACAGCTGAAAGAGTACAAGTGAAGCATAATTTGCAGCAGCATTTTGACAGGGTGAGTATAGCATGGTCCACGTTACTGTTTTTATAAGGAGAACAAGCTGAGTAAGTCTATGTCTGATGAAGAAAAGCAGCTACTAAAAATTACCATCTTTACTGTTCAAAGGGACCTGGGAGTGTACACAACATAGCTGAGTTCGATTTTGTAATTGATTACATTGCTTCCTTTGGGGTTTTTTGGACATAATTTCTCCATGCATCTGGGGTTTCTTTGATTAAATCCAGTACAGAGGATATTTAGGTAATTACTTAAAGAGAGAGATCTTCAGGTAGATTTTTAGGTGAAGGTACAGAACAGGCAGGTCTCTGTGGTTGTTTGGTGGATGCTGAACTGTTGGGGCTCTCTGGATGTGTCTGTCCAACTTCCCTTTCCTTTATATCTCTGTCCCATATGCAGAGTGTTTTGTTTAACATAGGCAAAGCTCTGTGCATTCTTTTTCTTTCCTTTTAACAGATGGGCTTCAGGTGTTGATATTACATCTGTTCACAGTTCTAGTTAAATTACTAGGGAATGGTTTTCACCTTATTACCTAAAATCATGATGCATGTATGTCTTTATACAAGACTAATAAAATAGCACAGAATCCTTTGAGAGGATAAAACAATACAGTGAAGACCTACAAAATTATCAGGCCTGTTGTGTGACCAGAGCAGCTTTTGGAAAACAGGCACTGTTTTTTAATAATGTACATATGTACATGTGCTAATTTTTTTATTTTTAGTCCAAATCACTTAGGATCACAACCCCGCTCACCTGCCGCAAGTATGTTAAAGAGAGCAACCCATATGTGACACCTGTTTCCATGGCAACATACAGTTTGAGCCGCCTTCACACGATGCTGGCAGGGCTGAAAAATGCCCCCAGTGAAAATCTGGAGCAAATACTCAAGTAAGTTTGATATTTAACCAACCAAGTAATTCTATTTTTTAAATAGTTTTAATAACAAACATTAATGCTTAAACAGTGTAATTTGAAATGTGAGCCACACTTGAAAGGTTCTGTAGTAAAGTGGAATCCAGAGAAAAATTTCAAAAGACACATTATTCAGAGACATCTGTCCTTAGAGATTGATGGCTATAAGAACATACACCATTTGAAACCTTGAAATTCGAATTGCCAGTGTAAAATTTTCAAGACTTTTTTTCCTACTTAACAAAGTGCACCATCTGGCAAATCACTCCAGTACCACAGGAGATGGAAAACAAACCTTACTCTACATGTAGATAAACTGTTGCTTCAGGAACAATATATTTTAAAACAATTTTTATGTCATGTGAAAAATGCTGTTTGAATATCTGTCCCTGATCATGGAAAGATGGGCATATTTACTACAATGTCTGCAATAGTAATAATATGCTGTGGGTGTTTTACAGTATGTATACAGTTAGACACATATGGGTGTGTTTCTATTGCTTTGCAATCTATTTATATTTTCATACTTTCATCATATTATAAAAATAAGAGGGTTTTTTGGTCTTAGTAGGAATAGTATATTGAAAATGTTTACTTTTTATGTTTAGGTCATGTTCCAGAGATCCTTCTCAATCTATTGCAAACAGAATAAAAGAAATGCATGAAGTGTACTGCCAGAGCACACAGTCTGAAGGAGAATTCAGTAATTTTTCCAAAGGTGGGAAACATTTTGCTTAACTAGATAAGAATTAAAATGCTTGTAAACATATTCATCTCTTATAATTAACAATTTTACCAGCAGGTTATGCTTTAGCACAAGTGTCTTTTCTACTTCTCTTGCCTTTTCCTGTGTTTTTGCACGTAGCAAATTTCAGTGCTGCATAAAATTTTTTAATCCGCCTTAGCTTAAATCACTGGAATTTGATCATACTCCCAGAACTACAGAAGTGAGATGAAAAGCACTGTGAACTGTTCCACTTTTTCTCTCAAATATAAGAATAGTAGTGATGGCATGGATTTATGGGATATTAAAGGAAAATCTGAGTAACTGTAGTCTTTAAAAACCCAACAGCAGTTTTGGTTACATACAAGAATGGATTAATACAGACATTAAAATCCTACCAGTATAAATACAAAAATTTTTTTGCAAAATTGTCTTGATATCTGAAGTACTTGAAGATGGATTGAAACTAAGGAAGATACTCTTGACCTTATTTCTTAACAAGACCTTACTCTGTTCTTGTCAGTTTAGTTGCTTCAGTGTTTTCTGTTGCACAGTGCAAGTTGGATCCATTCAGGTATAATTTTCAATGTATTTTCTGAACTTAAAACATGTATATTATAACAGTGTTAAGGATTGTCATCAAAATCTGGGTTCAGTAGAAAGATATTCTGCTCTGCTTTCACAAGTCTATGCAGTGCAGGAAGAGGATTCATAAGTTAACTTTAAATTACCTGATTTAATCCTGAAAGTATTGTAGCCACAGCAGCATAGACGTCCACACTGGCTCCTAAACTGTTGTATCTCTGTATCTGAAGATGAAGAATGTAATACTTTTTTATTGCATTTCACAATATTGCTTCTCTTTAAACTTCCTGCAGATGTTGCCAGTAAACATTTCCGTCGTGCTGAGATGCTCTACTACAAGGTCTTGGAGTCAGTCATTGAGGAGGAGAGGAGGACTCGACTGGGAGACACTGACTTATCTGTAAGGAAAACTAATCAAATTGTACCTCATTTTTAAAGTTGGACCTACTAAAAGGGAACACAGTTGTAGAGCAGAATAGTCAGCCATTTAAAAGGAGGGTAAATCTCTGAGAAGTAGCCTGTAAGTACATCTGAATGGAAGAAAAAGGGTACAAGAAATTATTTGTGTTTGCAAACACTAAGATACATAAAATTTTTAATGAGTAAAGATGGCTCATTTTGGATTCTGTTCTCTCTCTTACAAAATAACATCACTTTTTACAAGCTTGGTAATCTTGATGTTGAGGCAAAATAAAAAGTGTTTTATTGTTCTGTAGTTACACTGTAAATTAAGCTTTAAATTTTGCAACTCTTGCAGGCAATACTGGAGCAAGACGTGTTTCACAGGTCTCTGCTGGCCTGTTGCCTTGAGATCATCACCTTTACATATAACCCACCTGGAAACTTCCCGTTCATCACCGAAATATTTGACATTCCAGTTTATCATTTTTATAAGGTAACGTGTTTGAGAGCTAGAAATGCTTATCAAGTCATGAGTGCTCATTGACCTCTATGACAGCATAGGATTGAGTCATAGTAATTCAGTCTAAATATTTCTAATAGCCTCTTTTTTCTTGAAAATCGGGAATTGGAATTAGATCTTTGTTTAATAAGAAATTTATGAAATAAGTACATTTTGTTAATCATAATTATCCACCTTACAGGTAATAGAGGTTTTCATTAGAGCAGAGGATGGCCTCTGTCGGGAAGTAGTAAAACACCTGAATCATATTGAAGAACAGATCCTTGAAAGTATGGCATGGAAAGGGGAATCCATATTGTGGGACAGAATCAGAGACAATGAAAACAAAGTTCCTAGTTGTGAAGAGGTGAGTACATCTTTATGGGTTTTAGATAGCTTTTGTAATCAGACAGGATGGCAGAGAGAGGAGGCCTTGCGTGTCCCAATATCAGTTTAATTCTTCCAGCCCATCAGTGCAGAGGAAGCAGTAAATGCAGTATGATGTGTTCATTGTTGTCTCTGTAGAGACATCTGAAATGGAGACAGACAACAGAGATGATTCTCATCCAATATTTTGTTGGTGTAGCAGAACAGCAAACAAAATGGACAAGCAGAGAAGGTTCAGACCAGTCACTTACACTTGAAAAGATTACTAGGCAAGAAACGTGGTAAAAACTACACCCAGAAGTCCCAGAAAGACTGTTACAGTGCTGGATCTTGCAGAGCAGTACAGTCACTAGGCAGTTTTAGTTGGGCTTAGGGCAAGTTTTTCACTGCTTTTGATTTTCTCCCTGGAGTTTCGATGTTCAAAATTTGTAGTGCAGTAGCTGTTAAAAGCTGTTAAAAATTTGTTATGTATTTGTATTTGTTTGTATGTGATACATACACTGTAATCAAAGTATGAATATTTTAGGTAATGCCACCTCAGTACTTTGAGAAATCTGCTGGGAACAGTGTTGTGGGTTCCCCGTTGACACCAAGACGAATAAATGAGGTTCGTGCTGAAAGTGGAGGACTAGGAAAAGGTGAGATTTTTTTAAAAGCATAACATGCTGTACTTACTGAGACTTAAGTTACATAAGTAAGTTTCTTAAATGTCAAATGTTTTCAGAAAGTGATGTATGTGAACAGTGTATGTGTATGTATACATATGTATGTGTTAAATAATACACACCCCCCTTATGTTCTAATTGGTTTGATTTATTGTTATATCAGGATAGAAGCTTCACTATATATTTAGTTATGTGACATCTCAAACTTTTTTCACTAGAATAAATAAAACACAATAAATTAACCTAGAAAAAAAGCCAGCATTATTGAAGAGTAAGTCACCTCTAAAAGCAATCTGTATTTTTTAAAAATGTTTCCTGAAGAGCTTTGCATGACATATTTTAGTTCGCGTTAGATTTCTGTCATGTATCTGTATAAGAGATTTTAAACCAAGAGTTAAATATATGTGTCTGTGTGTGTGTTTTTAATCCACAGGCCTTTCCTCACCTCCAGCCACCCTGTATGACAGATACAGTTCTCCTACAGCCAATCCTACGAGACGCCGCCTGTTTGCTGATAATGAGAACCCCTCTGACAGTGGGACCCCAGTGAGAGTTTCCCAACAGCCCGTGGTGAACACGGTGCCAGTGCAGAACATGAATCCCGAAGCCATGTCGGTGACTCCGGTGCCTGGCCAGACCCTGGTCACCGTGGCAACTGCCACCGTGACAGCCAACAACGGGCAAACTGTGACCATCCCAGTACAAGGTCAGGGAAAAGCTGCTGTACAATTACTCAGCCTTGTTCCCTTCAGAGTATGAGTACACAGCCAAGGGGAGATGGGGGAACAGTTGTCCAGGGGAGAAAAAAGTAGGTTTAAGGATGTTTAGGAAACATTGTTTGAATAGATGATCAGTATTTAAAGACAGAACATATACAGCACAAGGGTGTTCTGACTGCCAGTATCTGTTTTATAAAACAGTTATTTCAGTAGCTCCTCCTTCCTGAACTGACACAGAATGAAATTTGCATTAGTATGAAAACCTTGATTCAACTTCATTATCTTCTTGTCTCATGATTAAAAGTCCAAAGTATTTTGATTAAACAATTTCATATATAATATACTAAATGTATAGTTATAACCAGCTAATAAAAGAATTACTGAAGAATTTCTAAAAACTCAAACAAAACCACACAAACGTGCCCCCTCCACACAACTTGCTCTTATTTCAGACTCTTTTTTCTTAAATTACAGGTATTGCCAATGAAAATGGAGGAATAACTTTCTTCCCAGTCCAAGTAAATGTAGGTGCCCAGCCCCAAGCTGTCTCTGGCCCCATTCAGCCTCTGAGTGCCCAGGCTCTCGCTGGTACCCTGAACACCCAGATGACTGGGGCAGCACTGCAGTTGCCAGGCCAGCTGACTGTTCAGCAGATCTCCCCTGGAGAGCAGAGACAGACCCAGCAGTTCACTGCCACGTCCATCAGGCCTCGGAAGACGGGCTCACTGTCACTCTTCTTCAGAAAGGTACTCATTTGTCCTTTGCTTAGTTTGTATTTTGGTAAATCTTTAGTGACTTTAACAATATATACTTACTAGTTGTAATAATAAGAGTGTATTAAATTTAAAAGTTAATATATACCTTTAATTATTCATACACATACCTGAACGTAGTTTTCTCATGGAGGACACTTCTCACCACAGCTGTCACATCAGGAGTTGTGAAGTAGATTTTGTGTTTGGCCAGCAGGTTTTTAAAGGTGTCCCTTTTCTTGAAGGCTCTTCCAAGGGAAGATATTCAGAGAGTTCCTGGTTTATTCAATACAGTGGTTTCTGTAGGCAATGCAGGGCCCTTTCTGTGCTCAGGACAACTTAGAATTTAAGCATCAAATAAGTGGTTTTCTTAGCTCTAGCACCAGGACTGAGAACATCTGTGTCTTGTAAGCAAAAAAAGTTAAATTTAAGTTCACTTATTCTTCTTTTGGCTTAGCATTTGCCCAGGTTCTGCAGGGTGTGCAAGTCTGAGCTACTCTTTGTCTGGGTAAGATAAGCAGTGTTGCTGTGGCCCTGAGCACAGTCTCCATTCCAACAGGTGTATCATTTAGCCAGTGTTCGTCTGAGGGATCTCTGTGTCAAACTCGATGTGTCTGATGAGCTACGGCAAAAGATCTGGACATGCTTTGAGTATTCCTTGGTGCACTGCCCTGAAATCATGATGGACAGACACTTGGATCAGCTGCTGATGTGTGCCATCTATGTCATGACTAAGGTAAAGAGTGAACAAAGAAAAAGCAAACAAACAAAGAACTTCTTTAATACTTAATATTACAAATATTACAATTCCTCAAAGAAACCAAGTCAACCAATGCACACACAACCACCCCCAAAGAAAAGCCCTGCAGAAAAACTGTGAACCTTTTGTGTCCATCCCCTCTTAGGTCACTAATGAAGACAGATCATTTCAGAACATCATGCGCTGCTATCGGACGCAACCGCAAGCCAAGAGCCACGTGAGTACAGTTATTATTAAACAATGTGGTCTCCAGTTTATTAAATGCATTAGTTTATTTTGGGAACAAATTGCTTTGCAGAGTAGCATTTAGTAGTAAATGGATGCAGTCTGTGAGCCATTCTCATGCAAAGACAGCAGTCATGTCCAAAATCCTGCACTACTGAAAGCTTTATATGCTAAACTATATGTAAAATAGAAAATATATTTACTTAAAACCTAAGGAGGCAGTGCCCGTTGGATAATATTCTTCTTAGGAGGCTGTATTTTCCCCTGCTAGAAGCACAACGAAGTTTCATGCAGACAGTTGTTTGCTGACCAAGTAAGTGCATCACCCTTCCCTGGGGACACCCCCCTTTGTCCCTGCAGGTCTATCGGAGTGTCCTGATCAAAGGCAGGCGCCGCCGCCGCTCCGGCAGCAGCGACAGCAGCAGCCAGCAGAACTCCCCCCCAGACAGGAGCAAGGAGAGGAACAAGGAAAGAAGTGAGTGATTCCACCCCAAACAGATGCTCCTGTGGTAAACTTGGACACAATTAAGAATATATCAGTAACGTTTAAGAGTTGTTGTAACTCAGGGTTTATATTTACGTCGCCTTTGACAATTTGGAATCTATCCCCACATGCACTTTGCTTGGGAGTTTGCCATGCTGGCCTGAGCTCTGATTTCAGCTCACACACCCCCAGGAATGAGTCTTTGGAGAATGAGAGGAAATCCGGGCTAGCCCAGGTTCAGTTACTCTTATCAGAACCCCCAGAGCTGCAGCAGTTTCTTTTGTAGCAGCTGGCTGTCTGCAGAGATAGGAACACCAGTCACAGCAGTGATTTCAGCACAGCTGACAGCTTGAAGATTCTTTCCTTGATAGATGAACTGACACATTTTCCTTGAATTAACTTTTATAAAGGAAAGCAAAGAAGCAGTGCTGTATATTCCTACCACCAGTTTTCAAGATATTTAATAGATGATGGTATAAGCTGTAGATATTAATGTTTTCTGTCACAGAGAGGTGGCAGGGAGAGGAGAAAAAGATTATATGTATTTTACAACTTCACACATTAAACTAGCAGGAAGTATTACCAAGCCAAGTATTTCTACTACTAGTTGCAAAAGACAATTGTTCCTTACTTGAAATGGTGCCAGGTGGCAACATGAAAGAGCTAGTGTTACAAGTGTAGCACAAATGCGTGAAAAATGGAGTTTCAGGGTGATGAAACTCAGGTCATACAGGAAAGTTAGAGATCAAGTGTGTGTCTGTGCACACGCAGCACTGTGGTCTGTACCAGCAGAGGCAGCTCAGGGATCAAAAGGAGCATCACTGACAGTGGCACCAGAGGCAGTGTTTCCAAGGGCTGTGGGATGGCAGGGCTGTCGGGCACTGAGCAGTTGTGCTCCCCCTGCAGGCAGCCGGGACTCCAGCCCGGTGATGCGCTCCAGCAGCACCCTGCCCGTGCCGCACCCCGGCAGCGCCCCCCCCACGCCCACCCGCCTCACCGGTGCCAACAGCGACACCGAGGAGGAGGAGCGGGGGGACCTCATCCAGTTCTACAACAACGTCTACATCGAGCAGATCAAAGACTTTGCCCTGAAGTACACTTCAAATGCAGTAAGTTAAATTCTGTGCTTTTCAGTAGTAAACATCTTTTTCTACTGACAGTGCAGTGAAGTCCCCTTAGCTGAGCTCACTGTAAGCAAATTCAGGGGATTCTGTTTTTATGACAACAACTTCACCTCAAGGACATACTCTGCTGCTAAAACAGTAAGTACTTTCAGTGCCTAATTGCTGTTTCCTCCTGTATGAAATACACAGCTCTAAGCAGTGTCATATGTCACTCGCAGACAGATTGGAAAAGTAAATTAAAAAATACTAATCCAGCCCAATACCATAACAAAATTCACATTTGTTGTACCATCTGTATGGTATCAGATGGGTGAAAAAAGCCTAGAGTGTGTTTAAGTGACCAACTCAGAAAAGCCTTGCTGCAGTGACACTGAGCTCAGGTACAGCTGTTGAGTGATTTCCTTCCCTCCCGGGCAGACCGACTCTCCTCCGCTGTCCCCGTACCCGTTCGTGCGGCTCAGCTCCCCTCGCCGGGTGCAGCTGTCCCAGAACCACCCCGTGTACATCTCACCACACAGAAACGAGTCTGCTCTCTCTTCCCAAGAGAGGATATTCTACTACTTCAGCAGCAGCCCCTCGAAGGTGAGACTAAAGGGTTACAGTTTAGTTTTATAATTAATTCTATCTTCTTTCCAGCAGTGAAATGAGAGTAGATTGTGCAACGCGATGTTTTGTTTACCTTGTCCAACACGTACTTTGTCACCTGACGCTCATTGAACTGCCAGTTCAGCTACTGAAGTTGTAAAGCTGGATGGGCCTTTGAGCTCTACAGGCAGTGACACAACAAGCTGGCTTGAGTTTGAGTAAGACTCAACCTACTCTGGTAATGGAAAGACCAGTACAGTGATGAAGGTCAGCTGGGTACAGAACAGATCTCCACAAGTAAAGCCTATGTAGTCCCGTTGTAACACACCTGACAGCAGTTCACATTATGTTGTGGTAGTCACAGAATGGTGAGAGTTAATTCTAGTTTTCCCCCCTCCTCCCTCCAGAGACTAAAGGAGATTAACAGCATGGTTCGAACTGGAGAAACGCCCACCAAGAAGAGAGGCATTCTCTTAGAGGATGGCACTGAAGCCCCAGCCAAGCGCATCTGTCAGGAGAATCACACGGCCCTGCTGAGGCGGCTCCAAGATGTAGCCAATGACAGAGGGTCTCACTGAGCCCACACAGGTTTTCCCTTCCTGCTGCTCCCAGGGCTGGGCTGCTCAGCCCACACATGGACCCACTGAGCCCTTGCAAGTGTCTTCAGCCAGACTGTGCTCAGCCCCCTCCCTGCCCCGGCCACCGCCCACTGCACTGGCTCCTCAGACCCTGACCCCACCCCCAGTCAAGCTCCTCACAAGGCAAGTGACCCATCTCCAGCCTTCCAAAAGCAGCTGAAGAGCTTTTTCTTGCTTGGAGAACACACCCCTAACACAGCTGTGTACCTTGCACCAGGTCTTTCCTTCCCTTTGAGCTAACCAGTCCCCTCACACTGTGTTTATCACCACTGTCAGCCATGGACAGGCACCTGGAGGTGCATCACAGCAGTGTCTTGGTTCCTGCAAGAACTAATGACCAACCTCCTAGCAAAATCCAGTTCTCCTGGGAAAGGGATGATGGGAATAATTGTTTTGAGGCCTAAAGGAAGTTGTCTGGATGGATCCTGTCCATATTCTGGACATTCATGTGCCCCTGAAAACTACCATGTCTGTGGCCCCTTGCTGTACACAGGAGGGGATGGTGTGGGTACAATGGTTTGAGCTGTGCAATGTTGGAGAGTGAACTGATGTTCCCAAGGTGGCACTTTTGATGGGGCTGTGAAGCATGATTTTTAAGGCAGGTGAGTTTTGCTGTATATTTGCAATGGCACTTTCTAAATGTGAATATTTTTTGCAAAGGCTGACTTCAGCTGTCTTTCTGTATTGAAAGTAGACTTTTGTATTTATTTCAATCTGACATGCCATTGCTCCTCTTGTCAGCAAATGGCATGAAGAATTCTTTGTAACTCAATGTATGTGCAGCAGTGAATGCAGGAAGCCAAGGATGTGTGCTTTTTTTGAGGAATTTTATATGCTCATTGCTTTTCATGAGTCAGGCACTGCCCCCCTCTCTTACTCAGCAGCAGGATTGTGCTGTCCATCTCTCAAAATGTATACTTACTTTGTTTTTAAAGGACAGGGTTGGGGGTTTGGTTTGGTGTTGGGGTTTTTTTTTTAAATGGACTAAACCAGGCTGCCTAGGAGAATCTCTCCCCCCCCTGAGGATGGGCAAGGGGTGCACATTAATTAGACTTACTACTTGTTTTCATGTAAAATAGTTCCCAAATACCAGGCTGCTTAGGAGAGCATCAGATGACTCTCAGTGTACAATGTGCCAGTCCACTGCTGGAGAGGGGGGGTTCTCCATGTAAAATGTGGCACAGGCATGTTCCAGAAGGTTTTCTAAGGAAGCAAAAACTAAAATCTCCATTTTCAGTCATTCCTGCCCTTCTGAGTAATAGGAAAATTTGAGACTTAATTCCACTGTAAATTCAGTTAAAGTAAAATAAAAGGATCTTTTGTTCTTACCTACAATAATAAAAGGTTGAAGTCCAGAAGTCGTGTAGATGTTTCTGTAAAAATATTTATGGAAGTGTCAGACAGTTCTTGTTATTCTGTACCATTTACTTCACTTTGTATGAAAATATTGCAATTGTATTTTTCAATAAAGAATTTATAAACTCAGTTTTATGGTCTTGTGGGAAAAAAAAGCATTGTATGTGCAAAGCTACAAATAGTCTGCAGCTCTCAAACACCTGGCTTGATGGTTAGTGCAAAAGAAAAACATACAGCCGAGGTCTGCAAGGCCCGGGACAGTGCAAGAACTGGAGTCCCACAGTGCAATCAAGGGTTTAAAAATAAATAAATCATCACACATTTTACCCACACCACGAGGGAAAGGATTTACTCTTGCTCCAGTTTAGTCACAGTGTTTGTTCCAAGTGTGTTCCCTCCTGCTGCTCTGGCAGAAGGGACAGCAGTGTCAGGGAATGCTGGGGCTCTGGCTGCTGCTCCCTCTGGCAGAGGAGGAGGAGGAGGCAGAGGGTGGCTGTCTCACCCCACAGCACAGGAGGGCCCCAGAACAAAAGGGGCTTTGCCTTCCCTGGAGGAGCTTTTAATAAAAGATCTCACACTGTAACCCAGCAGAATTATTTCCCATGTACTGTGTACTCACCTTCCAATGAAGTTACAGAGATTTCTAAGAATTCTCAAGTAGTTAAGAACCTCTTTGGCCACAGCTGGCTGGGGGCTGTACTTTCACAGCTAAGGACATGCTGGTTTTCCTCTGCATTTTCACCTATTGGGCCTATTTTACCTGTTTCATCCTCTTCTGCAGTTTCTGTCCCTTTCTAAAACCAAATTGTTAAATAACCCACAGCTATAAATAATAATAAAAGCACAATTTGCAGTTTATGCTTTGAAACAAATGCTAAAAAAACCAAAACTCCCAACCAACCAAGCAAACCAAAAAACCCCAAACCCAAAAAACTCCTACTTTAAAAGAGGTGTTCAAAAGGAAAAAAATTGTGTGTAAACTTGATTTAAAAAAAAAAAAAAAGAAAAAAACATCTGAAGTAGCTTAAAATTTTTTTCTTTCAAGACTTAGGACAGTCTGATTGGAAGGGACCTGGAGCCTCAGCAGCATCAGTAAATCCACTGCTGTAACTTCCACATGTCTTGGAAATGTTCTTTAGAGAGTTCAGAATTTCAAAGATGATATTCAGAAACATCCCCGTATCAAAGTATTGGCAGGGACTTAGGCTTTCATTAAATTATGCACCTGTATTAGGAAATACAACAGCCCAATCCAGGAGAAAAGGATTTGATTTCCACGACATCATTTCAGTAATCACTCGCCTACCTGGCTCCTGGAACAGCTTCTTTTAATACACAAATCTGATTACAGAAAGACACAGTGTTCTCTCCCCCTTCCTAATTTAATTTAAAAAAAATTTTTCAGCTTATTCATTCTAAATGAAACAAAATTCCACATTCTTTAAAATAAAATTATTTTCTTCTCAGTAAACTATTAGCTGGACTTACCTTGGAGCAACCCAACCTACTGACCAGCCCTGCAGGGATCTGTGGCAGTTCAGAGACGAACAAGACTTACATAACCATCACTTTCACATTGTCCTATCACTGCTCCTTGGCATTGTTTTTGCCAGCTGTGGTGTTTGCCAAGCCTCAGGGGTCAGAGCAGAGCCCTGGCTCTCAGCAGCACTGGGGCTGTGGGGGCTCAGCTCTGCATAACAGCAGCAACTCGTCCTGCACTGCAGCTGAGATCAAAGAGCAGCCCAAGATTAGAAGAGATTGAACTTGTACTCCAGCCCTTCACTTAAGTGGCTTAGGAAATGTGCAAGTCCGTGATTAATTACAGAAGCTCCTGAATAATCATGAAACCACATAAAGAGGAGCCATCACAGTCCAGTTTAGCTCCAGTCCTGCCTCCTGCCCAGCCATGCTCAGCACAAGGCTGGGGCCATTGCCTGCTTTACATCAACAGTCCTTTAACTAAAACTTTGCCCACGATGAATCTGAAGCATTTGAATTTCAGTTCCAGCCTTCCCCAGAAAAGTTTGAAAGAAACAACAGCAACAACAGAACTCACGTTCACAATATTTTAGTGGCTACACTCCAGGGCAGTACAAACACCCCCTAAAACTTTTACCACATCCCTTCCCTGAAAGACACACAGCACCACTCACCAGGCAACACAAACCCAGCTTTCAAATCAGTTCCTCCATTTCTGGCCTCTATTGCAAACTCAGACCAGCCACGTGACAATTCCAAAGCACTTGGAATTCCTCATAACCTGCCAGGTGTCCAAAATACTGAGGCCAATGGAGCATTAGTGTCACACAGGAGAACACTGACCAAGGCAAGTGCCACAGAGACACGTTTTCCTTTCCTTTGGTGTATGACAGCACACTACTTGGCAAGTCTTTGTCTACTTCCTTAGGAGTCAAGAAATTGTTCTCAAAAGGGGAAAGGTTGTTATATGGCAAGTGAATTTAGCTTGTCAGTACAAACAAAACACAAAAAGACCTACAAAACCCACACCACACCAGTGCCCACTGCCCTGACACAGCACGTCACATTCCCATGGGTAACTCCAGATTGTTCCAGTTGGGTTGGCTCTAATGCCATCAGTGCAGGTAAGGGGAGCAAAGGAAAAGCAGCCCAGCTGTAAGGGGTTAACACTACCAGTTTTGAGAGGACAATCCTGTTAGGCAAGAAGAAGGCAACACACACCAGGCTGTGGCATTAGAAGACTCATGTGAAAAGCAAAAGCTTCTGTCCTGAGTTCACACAGGCTTTAGGGAGGTTTCCCTGTATGTGGAACACGAGTCTGTTCAGTACAGAACTGCTCCTGGTAGCCATTAACATCCCAAACAAGTACAGATGTATCCAAGTGCTTCCACTCTGGTTCCAGTCTTTGCTAAATGTCAACAATACACACCAATAGGGACAAAGCTACAGCACAGTTCCTTTTTATTTTAAGATGTCACTATTAACACACATTAGTCAAGCTATCCTAAGAAATCTCCTGGACACCCAGGGAATCTAAAACCCTCTAAGATTTTATTAGCTCAAGAGACCACCATTAAAAGCTTTGATTTTAGTGTTTATGTACTAGAAGTCTAACAAGCCTGACATTCTGCTCTGCCCCAGTCAGACTAATGTGTGCTTTAGTGACAAGAATCATTTACAAGTCAATAATACATCATGTCATCCCCAGCTTTACTTCTGGAAAGTGCTAAATGGAGTCGATGAACCGTCTATTTACAATTTCAAATCCTAACATATTTACAATAGAAACCAAAAGTATTTAAAACCATTAAATATAGTGTTTAACTCTGCTATATTAGTTTACATGAACACAGCTTAACTCTGGCATCATATTTCCAATACTAATATTTCTGCCAGTAATTTAAGATTCTTTTAAAAAATTGCTATTCCTGGAGGGAAAAAATAAAAGCTTAAAAACCAACCCAAAGCCTCCAGGCATTTCAGAGCCCTGAGGAATTACCCACCCTAGACAGTCTCCAGGTAGAAGTACTGCAGTGTTCAAGAGAGACTTCCAAACTCCAGGCAAGCCTTTAAAACCTAATGCATATGTAAAACATTAAGAGTCAGTAATCCACTGAACAGGTTTACTGGAGTCACTGCTACCATTCGGTTTTTACTAATCCATAGTCAAGAAGGAAACTGCTGCTTTGCTGTTTCTCCCTCCGTTACATTCCCTCCACCCACAGAAAGTGTTTTGTGCACCAGAGTCCAGGAAAGCTAAGTGGGCATCGTCTTCTCTTCTTTGCTGAAGGGCTGCACTGAGCCAGGCTTTACCCAGGACAGGCCAGAAACGTGCATGCTTTTGCAGTGCTGATCTTCCGTCTTCTTCTGGGGAGAACAAAGTTAAAGTTACAATTATTAGATACCAAAACCCTCTCAAGTTCCTCTCCATCCATTTTATCTTTGGCAAATACAGGCATAACAGAGGTTTGCACCATTTCCTCTCCTCAAAGAAGAACAGTAAGATGGCTATTGGTTTAATTTCTGGGAATGTGTGTGGCATCTGCAGAACCACCCTGACAATACAGGGGTTTTAATGACTTGGCTCCTGTACTGCTGCCCTACCCTACCCTAAAGTCTCAGAGATAACCAATTTGCTTGGAAGACCCAGCCCAGCACCACTGCCCTGCTCTTCTCCAGATTTCTGGCTTCTACAGAAAGAAGAGTCAATCCAAACCCAACCATTCCTGTCCCTAACCTGACACTGTACCTGTATGTACCTGGTGGTGCTGGCTGTGCTGTGGAAGGAACCTCCACCCCACCAGCAGCTGGGAACACAAATTAATGTGGTAAAGCAGCAAGTGGAGCCTTTGCTAAACCTGGGAGTTTATGCTTTCCAAGAATGGTCCTTCCCTGAGCATTTATCATGGTTAAATGCTTGAACAGTAACTATTACCCATCGCAGTGCAACAAACATTTTACTGACTATTGCAATTTAAAAAAAAAAAAAAGCTTCAAATTGAGGGAGAAAGATGCAACTTGGAGCATTTGTAGATTTAAAGTAGTTTAAGAGATCAGCAGGTTAGATACCTACTCTAGCTGGTTCAAGAAACAGCTTGCAGGGTTTTTTAAAATACCAGGAACTGTATGGTAACTACATCAAACCTGGAATGATGCACGGAGCTCTAAAGTGATAATTACATGTGCAGACTTTGTCATACCTTGGAAAGCCTTTTGCTTGACAAAGTAAATTAAGTCAGCAAGAAAACAGAACCTGCACTTCTGCCCCTCCCCATGCTTTGTGCACAAAGCTGACACTGTGTGACAGAACTGCCACAACACGTTGGACAACAGCAGACAAGAGGGATCAGTTAAGCCTGAGCCTGGCAGTGGCACCTGCCTTTCCCACAGGAACCACACCCAGCAAAAGCCACGTGCTCAGCAGGGAACTGGGACATCACAGCCCTTCTGGGACACAGCTCTAGAATGGCTCAGCTGTTTCCCAAGGCACAGGAATTACAGGGTAATAAAAAAAGGCTGTAGGAGAATTCAGGAACTTTTTACAGGCGATGTTCTCAGCTACACTAACATTTTGGAACAAATCCCTAAGGCACAGAAGCTGGGCTGTTCCTGCTATCAACAAACAACTCCAGTGACTAAGTACCATGCATGGAATAGTTAGTAAAGGTGTCAGTTTTCACCCAAAAAGAAGTTAACATGCATCTCCAAGGAAAAAGGACAAAAGAAAAGCCATTGTTTGCTATCAGCCTCTGAGACATCATCATACCCCTTCCATTTCAAGGGCCTTGACCCATTCTTTCTCTTCAGATCTTTGATTTAAAGGATAAGAAAGAAGGAGGTAGAGAATGAAGAAGAAAAAAGAAGTGTCAAAAGTATTTCTTAAGTTTCATAAGAACATCAAGAAGTCATAATCTGATCAAAATATTTTCCTTTGTGTTCTAGAGCTCTGATGTGATTCTGGCAGTTGGGAGCATTGCCATACTGAGCTTACAGGGAGTTTATTATATTAAGATAAATTTAAAAATCTCACCCATGCCAGAAGACACACAAGAAAGTGAGTTAAAGGTTGCAGTGAGGAAGACTGAAGTCTGGACTGACAAAAAAACCCTAAAATTAATTTTTAATTGCAAAACAACCAGCAAACCACACCACAGCTTCAGCCGAAGTCAGTGACTAAGGTATGCAGAGGGCATTTCCTTGCCAGTCCAGCTAAGACAGCAGCCACCATTTCAGAATCCCTACCAGTGGATTGACTTGTCAGGCCATTCACTGCAAACTCAGAATTGCTGTGTGCCAGCTCTTGTCACAGAATTAAAGAAGTGATTACAAAAACAGAATAAAAAACCCCACAAAGAGCCCCCATCCCAAAACCAAAGGTGAAAGCTCTATGAGCCAATACATTCTTCCTCTGTCAGTAAGAGCACTTTGTGATGGAAGGGACTCAGAACCCTTGGTGAGCTGATGTGTTATCACAAATCAGCAGTGTTAGAGATGGGAGCAAGGGACTGTGCCTGTGTTGTTTCAGAAACTTTGCAATGAGAAGAAATTGCTGAGGCTTTGATTCAGTAAGGAAAGATCTCTCAACAGAAGAAAGCCAAGAAGCAGGAGACTGTCAGGTTATGCAGAAGTGCTAACAAATATGACAAGTGCAGGACAAGCTAACAGGCAGGCAGCAAACCTCTTCTCTCCCCTTCTTCCCCCCTTCCATCCATAAAAAAAAAAAATCTGCCAAGTGTGCCAATAGTTGTACTAACAAAGCTTTCTATCTGGCTAAGTGATTAATTGCTTAACACACTGAAGTTAGAACAGTGACATAACTGCTTCATTAGGAGACAAAATCGGTTCCAGCATGCCTGCTGAGCCAAGAGGGGTGGAATAAGGTCTGTCTAGTACACAGAGAGACAGAGAACCTTTCTTCCCATATCAGGCAGTAAACCCCTCCTAGACTTTGCACATACCTTCTGAGTCAACATCTTCTCTCTAGCTTCATCATGTATAGCTGGATTCCACGGAGAAAAACTATAGAGAAAGTACAGTTAACTCTTACTTGGCATATTTGCAAACCACAGCAAAGACAGAGCAAAAAGTAGTGATTTTCCCTAGTTCAGCTTGTTGAATTTCAAGTAAACTGTGAGTTTTCAGTGTTAAAACATACAGTTAAGAATTAACATTGTCATGGATCTATTCAACAATATATGTTTAGGTTTACACTTCTGTCTGTAATGAGAACTGGCAATTCAGCATGTGCTAATCAAAATATTACTCATATTCACCATGAAGCTGTCTGTTCCATCCCCCAAGCTTTTCAAAGACAGACCAAATCTACAGTCAGACAAACTGAGTTCAGGAAAGCCAAAAAGCAGTACCTATTTCATGGGCATTTCTGCTTGA